ACTTGTAGGTGAGCTGAAATATGTATGGATGTGACAAAGCCTAGCTGAAAGCATGGCATGGGAAAAGTAATGACATTTATGAAGAAGGGGCATGAAGTTATCAATACACTCACACCACTTCTCTCAATTGCAAATAAAAATGAGAAAACTATCTTACATAGCCAGCCCCGTGGAGCTCCACTTCACCCAGTGGAGCAACCATTTCTTTCTGACTGTAACCAAATGATGAGAGGTGAGTACAGAGAAGTCCTATGAAATTGTAGGGGGAAGTCTCTGGAAAAATTTCTCTGGGGTGGAAACCATAAATCTGACTTGACATCATCCCCACCTGTTATGCCCACACTACATCTGCATGAAGTGAGGGGAAGCAACCAGAATAATATTTTTATACCATTTTGCATAAGTAAGGAGACAGATAACAGAAAATCCAAGTGGAAAATGAGCCAGAGTATGAGTGTTCAAAAACTTGGGAACTAAAGAGGATTTAAGTGGCACAGGGAGGCTTTCTGCTAGGTGAAAAGGAACAGTTGCCTGGCTAACAACAAACAGAGTCAGATGAACCAGATTTGAAGGGAATAATTCAGGTGTTTAAATAGGCAGGTAGTGTTTTCAAGATTTGCTAAGGCATCCAAGCCAGCTGCAGTGTTCTGGAAGGGATGATGCAGAAAATAGAGACAATCCACCCACCTATCTGAAGCAGCAGCTGAAGGCTGCTGGAATACTGGCATCTGGAATACTGGCACTAGGTACCAGGTGTTTATGCCAGAGTCCTTGGCATTTCTCCCTAAATTCAGGACTTCTTTTCTTGTCTGAACCCAAACATCAGAGATGATATCTCATGGCTGGTTGCTGACATTCACAGACTGACAGCTGGCTGAGAATAAAGGATCAGCTGGCAGTTTGACTTATTGGAGAATTATGACAAAGCCCTACTTAACCATGGGTGTGGAGGTAGGTCATAGAGCCTGTATGTGTTTCTGGCTGTTGGCAGGAGGCTTTCAAGAGTCTGGGAAGTTCTTCTTCCAGACCAGCAACAGGCAACAGGAATGGGGAAGAAGGCAGCTCAGTGTGGCGAGCAGGGAAGGGCTGGGAGAGAGGGTGGCTGCGCTCAGCCCATCACTGAGCGTGTGGCTTTGACTGATCCTGCAGCAGGGAAATGCCCCTATCCAGGCATTAGCATGAACTTTGCTTACAGCCTTGGAAGCCAGTGTGATGTATTTCCACATCTCAGAGATGAAGCTCCTCAGGGGAAAATCTGGAATTTTATTACCATGCAAATCCAGTTGGGATGTTGCTCTCTAACTTCCCCACCCCCCCCATCCTTCCCTTCTCTGCCTAAAATTACTTGGGCATGCAACCATACTTTTCCATATTTCCTCTTGAAGTATCCCAGAAGAATTATTGGACTTGTGCAGATGGGTATACTCATTTAACTCTCAACTTAAATATTAAAATTCCACACCCTGAACTTGCCTATCACATACTTGGCTCCTGCTCTTGAAATTATCACCTTTTTCACTGGACTTTTTGAATGGTATGATGGTTTTATTTATCTATTTATTTTTAACAGGCTAATTCTTCACAACAACTCAAAAGATAATTCAGACTCAAATGAAAAAAAATTAATCTGTTGGGTTCTGCCTCTGCATCCTTTATGCCTGTGACAGTTTTTTCTTTAGCAGAAATGCCTCATTACTCGATTTGGCATCCCATAGTCAGCACCACAGTATGCTAAGCTCCACATTCTGGTAATTGCTGCTAAATGTTCAATTTTTTCATTCACAACCCAGTGGGAGCCGTTTTATAGTAGAGGAGATGTAAATACCACGTAAAAAGATCAAAAGGTGAGTCAGAAACTTATCTAAATCCCAGTAGCCCCAGATAAAGTCTGCCACATTGCTATAAATAGATCACAAGTAATATAGGGAAAGGGTTGATTGTGATGGGAACCTTGCATCCTACAAAAAGTTCAGTATATAACAAACTCACCAAAAGATTTCTTTTGATAGTTAAAAGACTTACATATAGCTATGAGTACAAGGAAACCATTCTATGATAGGAACAAAAGAAAACACAGGGCATTTCAAAAACATTGCTGTTGCCTATCTCCTCTACTGCTGTGCAAATTTCACTACTTTTATATATATTATTTCAGCTCCAACACATACAATGCCAACAGATTTAATCCTAGAGGCATTTGCAGCTTGAATTTCTTACATAAGGATCGTAAATCTAGAATGGGAAGCCTGAAATCGTTAAAGTCACATATTTATAAAATCATATTCAATTAGGTTAAAAAAGTGCAATTTCTGTCATCATGTCATAAAAAGATGTGTTTTTCTCTCAGATCTACTATAAAGAAAAGCTCCCTATATTGTTACAGATAGAGGCTGTTTTCAATCAGTTACAAGAAGCAATCCAATTACTGGATGGTTTAGTGCAGTAACTGACTCCAGACTAATTTAATTTCTTTGGGTCTCTAAAGATCAATTGATCTGATTTGCTTCCCTCCCCAAAGGCTGTTTAGGAAAAAGCAGGCTTAAATACTTGGAAATGAAATACAAAGCTCTGTGTGCTTTCACACTACTTAGGTCATTTGGAAAAGCTAGAACTCAGGATAAATGAGTGCTCTCTTGGCCCCAACATCATGGGATGCTTTACGGGAGGCCATTAGGATCACCATGCCACACTGTAGATTACACACACACATGTGCTGAGTGCATGCCTGCTGAGGGAGCAGTGCAGGGAAAGTATTTTCACAGCTTCTAGAGAACTAGTCAATTTTCAAGAACTGTGCAAGTGTGTTTTGGCCTTCACAGTCTTTTCCCTGGAAAATAAGTCTTTTTCTCCAGCAGTGATCTTATAGTTTCCAATTAGACTGAGCAAGAGTCATGCTGTGCTATTCAAGATTCACCTATTTGCAATTAATGTTGCAATGGGCATCAAATAAGAAATTCTTTCTGTTGCCTTTCTTCCTATTGTCATTTATTTTGCTATTTCCTTTGCTTTGTTTTAGATTTCTTTAAGTGATTTTTCTGGTGCTAAGAAAATCCAGAGAACCAGTGGGAACTTAGAGAATGATATCTTCATGCGCCTGAGTATTTTAGTGGCAGAACTGAATAAACCCCTTAATATTTCTGCACCATTTGTTTGACTTAGGCAATTCTCAAACACTCTCTTACCAGCCCACTTGCCTGTTACACTTTTGTTATCTCATGACTTGATGTGTTGTGCAGCAGGTTTTGAATTTTTAAATAATATTGTAGTAGTAATCAGGGCTAAGCTTTCTAATTTAAGTCAAAAATCAGACCTCACCCAAACCTGGGCTCTCAAATCCAGAGTTTTAATGTAAGTTTAATAGTTTTCACAGTCTGTTTCTTGTATTTATTGTAGGCTTCACATTTGTCTGCCTTATCTTTTGTGGCAACATTTGTGCCTGGGCTTGGCTGCCTGTCTCAGGCTCTATTCTTACACTTATCAATAAACAAAAGGGCACTGCAGCTTATGCTCAGCATTTCTGACTCCATGCCATGTGCTGTTATAATAAGATGTCCTCTGGAAAAATTCCCTTCATATCCAGCACCACGATAGTCAGTTCATCTGCACAGAGGTAACTAAGTTTTCCTCCCAGCTTATCTGTTCAGACTCTTTCCACCCTTGCAAAGCTGTGTCGTTAGATGTCTCTTGTCTGTAAAACAAGGAAACCTCTTCTGACGGGTCCTTCCTTTACTATTCATTGCATACTAACCTGAGCTTTGGATCTTGTTTACCTGAGTATTCTCTCAATACAGCAGGCCATGCTATTTTATTAAATGTGCCTTGTTTGTTTTCATTTTCAATGAAGGCTTTCACTTAAAAAACAATTTTCAACAACTTTGCAAGTGTGCACTGCAGCCTACAAGCTATCTTTCCACAAATCACTGTTCTTTTACCCATTTACTCGACAGATCACTTATGATCCAGTCTCTACTAAGGTGTAAACGATACCACTATTTTCCACCCATGGGCCTGCTTAGATAGATGTACTTTTGAACTGCTGTAAAGACTTTCTCTAGCTCTGTGGCTATGACTTCACTGAGCAGTTTGTCCCCTGCATGCACCTGTGAAAAATGATTCACAGATACATCTGGATATCTCCACATAGGAGCCTGGAGGGTTTTGGCCTCTCCAAACTTTCTTTCATGATTGTGTGCTCATAGGAAAAATTGGATGTGCTATATCCATCTCCATCGAGTTCTCTTCCAGCTTAAAGGACACAAGCAGCTTAATTTGCTTCATTTGCCAAGTTATTTGACACGACACCATAAAAATGTGACGTGCTGGAAAACTACCAAGAGATTGAAGTTTATTTCCTAACTCAGCTGTGGGTTAATGCTTCTGTCCCTATGGCAGCAGTTGCTTGTAATGAGCTGTACACACACAGAACAGTTTCCAGATAAAGCTTTCCCCTGATGCAGCTTGTAATATAACTTTGGTGAAACAAAAATGGCATCTTTGTTGTCAGAGTGGGAGTTATGGGAGTCTTCCTGATGGCAGTAATTGCCAATTTGGTGTCTGGGACTGCTGAAGTGAATTTTGGGATCTCCCCTCTCTCATTTCCACTATGTTGAGCAGTGGGGAGCTGTAAAGATGTTTTTCACAGGACCACTGCCCTTGTTTCCCATTGACCCAATTCACAGCTCTCAATAGGATTAAATGGCATGATAAGAAAGAAAAGCTTTTCATTCTGAAGTTGTAAAACTGACCCTCTTCCCCCTTCAAGAAGCCCCCTGAGGAAGACAAATATATTGGCCCCAACTGGAACAGATGTCAAAACTCAAAACAGCTCTTTCTTCATAAAGTTTATAAGTATTTTTAAAGGATGTGGAGGAGTCTTACTATATGCAGCAAGATAACATTAAAATGCACAGGTTCTCAGGAGTTGAAAGGATGCTTTTCCTACAAACTCTCTCTTCTCTTTATCTTATCTGCATGGAACATAAACAGAAAGTCCCCATTACCTCTCGATATCAGTGAGTCTGGAAGAGTCACGGAATCCTTTAGCAAAAGGGTTGCTGTCAATTTTCAACTTGGTTATCTGGGAACACAAAAAAGAGCAACGTTACACGAATACAGTGTCAGGGTACTGCAGTGTACAAAGTGTTGGCCAATCCATCCCCTGTGGCTTCACTGCCCATTTCATCCATGTGCCCCGTGTGTGCTGCTCCTGAGACATTGCAGAGCTGAGGGGGAGGCAAACCAGGCTGCACTGCACATGTGGCAGGGGGAAGACCAAAGGGCATGGCAGGCTCAGCCTTCCTGCTGCCTGGAGCAGGAGGAACCCACCCATGGACAGCATGACAGCTTCCAAATACTTCACCAGCATCAATCAGGTTGTCTTTTCCACAGGCAGCACAAATCACCCTGCTAACAGCTGAGCATGCTTGGTGGAGCTGCTCATCAACCAACACAAGCCCCAGCAACCTGATGCCACGGTTTCACTTCACCACCACCTTTTTTTTTTACCGGTGGTGTTAAAAAATACTTAATTTCCAGGGAAATCTTCTCAGGCAGGCCTACAAGCCACCACATAGGGTCAGTTTAACTGGTTTTGTATGAAAAGAAGCTGAGGAAGGGAAGGAAAAATGTGGGGAGAGCTCAGATTAAAAGTGACAGAGCTTGGATTGAAGGAGTAACCCCACTGAAACTATCACTATTTTATCTCGAAAAACCACAGATCATGAATAAAAACTTTCCTCCCTTCTTCAAAGGTAGCTATAAACCTGCCCACTCATTCAGTCAGCCTTTCCATTTTGAGTGAGCAACCCATTGACCAGGAATCCCTCCTGCCCCAAAACATCTGAGCTCCCCTTTGTGGTGAAACTTTTCAGGCATATGGTGGTGGCTTTCAATATGTTTTTTCGAGGACCAGGAAAAAAATGCACCATTGTTCTTGTGAAATTTTCAATCTATCCAACCAATTTAGATTTAGTGAATAAAACCTGAGACATCATTGTAATATTTGGATTTTCCAGCCATACTTCTTCCAAGAGCTAAAAATAAAATTTTAAGTGGGAGTTAGAGCTTTATGAGAGAAAACACAGGACCCGTCCTGCAGGGCAGTGAATGCCACCAGCTCTAGCTTAAGCTCATGAAAATCAACAGCTCTCAATACTTCATATTATGGGGCTTTGTCAGCCTGACTTCCTTCAAAAAAAAACTGTATCAAAGAGGCTACAACCTCATTTTTAATAACTGGGCCTCAAGACTCAGAAAAAAAGAAATGGGATCTTTTCCAAATCCTCTAACAATGAAACACTCTCATCAAACAAATATATTTCAAAATGGGGTGGCTTCTCCCCCAAAATAAAAACAAAATAATAAGGAGGACAAATATATATTTATATAAAATGCTAAAAAATAAAGAGGACAACTAGAAACAACTTTTAATTCTGAGAAAGAGGTCTTCTGAGGAAAACACAGAGAGGAAGGGACATTCTGACAAAGGGAAATTCTGAATTTCTAATTAAGGGTCTGTCAGTGGTCGAACACCATAGACCTGAGCGTTGGTGGAGAGTTTGAGGTTGTCTCATCACTTATATACAGCTGGTGGAAACAATCTTGAAGCCTTGTCACAAGGACCTTGAAACAGCTCAGAAAATTAGTTATAGGCTCATTCTACTTCCAAGACATCCATAAACCCTCAGCTAATGGTGATGTTGCAAAGTGGCAAGTTAGTGCCTCACATCCAGTGAAGGTTTTTATGGCAGCATTTTGAAAACCACCTTGAAAAAAGACAAGCTCTAACTAGTTCCATTGACTGAGATCACTGACACACCAAGCCAACTGCACTACAGAACAATAAGGATGTCTATTCATCTCTTGAGCATATTTTCACCAATCAAACTTCCATCTTCCTGATATTAAAGTTTTGGTATGACATCACAGAAGAAACTTTTTGTATCCACCAAAGCCAGATGAGACTCACAATCATTTATGGCCATATTTTTCCTGAGAGACTGTCTCACAAACAATCAGAGAACATCTGCTAGAAAGCATTTTAAAATGAAATCTGACCTACAATTCAACTCTGTGGCAGTGGTTTGACTGTTTAAATAAATGCATGCCCTTTAAATCTTAAATTATGAGATAGTTTGTTGAAAGTGTAATGTATTTAGCTTTTATCTAATAACCTCCAGAAATGTAATCAATCCCTCCTTAAAACAGTTCTGAAAGAAATGGCAAAAATGAAAAAAGGCTCCATTTTCATTAGTCATAAATAAAATGACAACATCAACCTCTAGGGGTTCCGGAGATGTTCCATTGAGAAATTTTCCAGGACTCAATGTATGTGCTTTTAGTTTAGAAACATCTCTAGTGTAAATATTGTCGGTAGACAAAAATCCATCCTACAGAAATAAATTCTGGGTTTAGCTGGTTTTGTGCCTGTTACTATTTTGCTGGTTTCTAAAGAAAGTTACATGGAAAAATCTAACTGCCTGTCCAAACATTATTTTCTTGAGATTGCCAGGTGCTGAGTATGTTTTCTACAGCATTCAGATACAAATCTAAGTCTAAATCAATACATTATTAAAGCCTTAAAGCAGGATGCGGGGTCTGTCATGAGGACTGACTTAATATTACTAATATTATCTTCAGAGCTTCCTTGGCACCCTATGCATTAGTTTCATTTTATTCATAGCATTTCAAAATTGCTTTTGCTTCATATTAGCAAAATGCCTTCTTCTTTAAATAATCCAGCAGGTACATTAACTCTCTGATGCTGCCTGCCCACATATTGGGCAGTGCCTATATTTTTCTTAACTTGAGGGAATTAAGGAGCAAAATAGGTGGGTTTTTTTGAAGTACCATAGTCAGTAAGTCCTTAAAGCATGCTCTGAATCACACTGAAGGCAACAACGTACTTCCACTGACTTAAATATTAAAGTCCTATCCACCATCAAACAGAGCCTCTGTTCTCTGATTGTTTATAGACTTCCTAAAATTACTCATTAGCAATCCATTGTTATGATCTCCTCCATTTTGTATATATTATTCACTGGCATGCAAATTGAAATTCAAACATCTGGATGTAATTTGGGCAGCCTCTGAAAAGCATATCTCTGAGTGATTTTCCCTACGCTTGAGCTTTACAGCTTAATTAGTCAACTTTTTAAGCCCATGAAATCATCATGTGCAAACCAGAATCTCTCTCAGCTCATAGCTTGTGACATGAAAGATCACTGTAAATAAGAACAGTTCTTTAATGAGCTATAATTAGAAAATGACTAAATGTTTATATGCAAGCAGCTTTGTATAGACAGAGGGGAAGACAAAAGAAAGCTTCCTACTTGCCATTTTTACTCTCATGAATAATTCTTACTGCTCTTTGAAGTCTGTACTACTACTGTATCTTCAGGAATTACTCATGAATATGAATAAGATTGGCATGGAAAGGTAGGTTATAGCAGAAATTTTCCTAGTTTAGATTGGGCAGAAGGGAGTTTTTAGCAGGGTGGGATCTAGTTACATCTGTGGAAATTAGCAACTCTACTCACCAATTGATTCTGGTAGGCAGTAACAGCAGTAAAAACTGTCTCTGGAAAGATGAATGTTCTGAACTCTTCTGATTTCAGATTTAGCAAAGAAGCTGTGTGATCCTTCTTCTTAATGATGTGCACCCTTGGCTGGTACTTGTGCATGGAGTTCAGAATGATCTGCAAGGAAGAATGACAGAGCACTGTCCTGAGAGGAAGGTTGACAGGGCCCTTAAAGGCTATAAAACCATGGGGGGAGGGGGGGAGGGAAAGATCTAATTAACACTACAGGGGAAGAACCTGAAATCTACCCAGCCAGGGGCTGATTTTCAGAGCAAATTCTCCAGCTCCTTTGAGCAGTTCCAGGAAATGAAGGTGGAAAAGCAGGCATCCCAGAAGCTAGTATCCTCTCACTCCTACGCCACTGGTGAGCATGCATTTCTTGAGGCATAAATACCTGTTCCTACAGGTGAAGTGTTTTGCATACAGAATTAGTCACTGCCAGAGTGTGCCCTGGTTGGCAGGTGTGACTATGTAACTCCTGAAAGCTAATGGCCAAGAGCCCCCACTTGCAAAAATGCACATGTGCAGAATGAAAACAGCCACAAATCCCTCAGAAAAAAAATTGTGGAAAAAATTAGACCCATCCAAAAGCCTACCAGCAGCAGCACAAACCATCTGACCAAAAGTAAAACTCCACGTAGCCTTTCACTGTGGCAAACCTTTAAAACAAACTCCTTCGGGGGTGCTCGTCACCGCAGACTACCAAAAATGAGAGCAAGGAGGGAAACCAGTACGGAACCCCCAAATGACTGGGTTTTGCTATTCTATCCTCATTAATAATTGTTTACGAGCTCCCAAAACAATTCTAAACCCAAGGTACCAACCAACCAATTTCAACGTTCACTGGCGTCAAACCAAGAGTCCCCCTTGCTTTAGTTACCACTGGCTGGAGGCCTGTTTGGCGGTCTCTAACCACAGTATTACAATATAAGAATTAAATACAGAGCTCAGCTCACACCAGCCCTTCTTTTGGATATAATCACAGTCACAAGACAAAATTGGCAATGGTGTGGGTGGTTCTATTTTGCAGGGGCCATAACGACATTACAGTCAGCTCCCTACATCTGGAATAGCTAATGTGCATTCCTCAGGAAGCGTTAACTTCAGCTGAAACATAGCAGGAGCAGTGCAGTATTTCATGCTAAGTCAATGAGAAAGGTTGCACATTGCATTGGAGTGGAGAGCTTAGAGACAGTCCTATCATGGCTACAATTTCCATCAGTGTTTTTCTTTGCTGCTCCTTTGGGGCCAAATATTGGAAGACTCGCTCTGGGACTTGGGGAGAGGCACAGAGCAACAAGAAAGACATTGCAATGACAGTGAACCATCATCCTAAAAGTGTTGCATGTTTGCTTTAACCAGCTCGGGTCCTTTTTCAAAGCACTTCACCATTTTGTATAGGAACACACACAGTGGCCATGGACCTTGCCTCCTTAGCACTATTCCCTCTCTTTGTAAAATGTTTGTCTTGTCATCCTAGTTAGTTGGAGTGCTCTAAGCAGATGGAAAAGACATTTTAAAGCAGGGTGTGTGGATGGTGATGAGCTTACTGAGGGGTCGGCCCACAGACCTTGGTGCTTTCCATTGCCTTTCATGGCCACGATATCCACACCAAGGCATTACATCTGAGCAGCAGTCAGGCAGAAGGAGGAAAAAGCTGAGAGCAGCTCCCACACATGCCCTTTCCTTTCACTCCTCTCTGAATGCAAATTGTGATAAATGAACTACATTTCTCAAACAAGACCATGTAATCCTTCATGAAAGTTTTCCATAAAATAGAATGCACATGGATAACTTCCCTTGCAATGGTACTCTACATTTCTCGTTCCCACCAGAGGCAAGTCTGGTCATTCATGTACAAAACAAGTACTGAATGCAGCCAGGAGGTCACAAAACACCCATGACCAAGGAAAATGTCACCATTTCCTTCATGTGAGGGTCTGTATGTGTAGTTCCCCACCTCCACCCCCACAGAAGCTGCTGGTGACACACAAAGGCACTCCTTAATATCTGTGTTAGGACCATATAGAAACAGCCCAAAGGAGTGAGATCCAAAGGGTGTTCCTCACAGAGCAGACTCCAAGAGCAGCCTCAAAGTCCAAGCAGTCCCCTCCTGCATGGTGTAGCTATCAGAAAATCCCTTATGCCAGCTCAGTGACAATCCTGCTGGCATGTCCCAAGAGGTACCTCAGGTGCCTATATATTCCTGGCTGCCCCCCTGCACACGCTTGCTGGCAGCCACAGGCCCTCAGCCACCATTGTGCTGACAGCCTGAATCAGGGGAGATGACCAGGATACCTCCTTACAGGATCCTGATTGCTGTAAGGCAAGGCAGGTTTGTAGGCATGTGGCTCCCACTGGCTACAGACCAGAGGCAATCTGGATGCCAGCTGCAAAATTTCAAGGTGGTTTTGAATTCAGGAACTGTGCTGTGAGTGCCACTTCCATATTCACCAAATAATAGCATTACCATGTAAAGTTTTCTTTCTGAAAGCACTAAGGTTCCTAACTTGTGCCTGGTTGACTAAAAAAACATGGGCATAAATCCTTGTGGCTATTCCATGACCCCTTTTCAGTTTTCACAGTTATTTATTAAACATGTTCACAGCTTTGAGTTTGCTTTTGCATAGATTCATGTGTTTGAGTAAATGCCAAAAATAATGCCAAGTACATTATTACAATAATGTATACACTCATGGCTCACCTCACCATAAACCAGAAATGATAGCACTCCAATGAAGGGCAATGAAAAGTCCTAAAGAAAGCACTCTGTGTGAAAAGTATCACTAAAATAATGGGTGGGGGGGAAATGTCACACTCATAAATATTTCACAGTCAGAAAAATGGCAATTTCTTGCTTGGCTGTAAAAATCTAGAGATAGAAGCCATTTCCTTCCTCTGGTAAGGATAATCTGAAAGTGTTCCCATGCAGTGAGCTGTATGCCATGCACACAGAGATAAGACTTCTGCCTGAGGCTTGAGGAGAATATGTGCACAACTCTGGGGTTACACATGCTGCTGAAGGTAGACAATCAAAATGCTTGCCAACCCCAAAGTCTCGGAATAAGAGAAAACAAACATATGCTAGAACAAACAAATGCCTCTCTTCTCTACTTCTTCCTTTTCAGGAAGGGAACCACCCTACAAATAAACCACAATTACCTTAACACCCAAAACTGTCTTCTGGACGGTGAAGAAAGCAAACAACTAGAACAAACTGGAATCAGGCTGGATCCATTTTCCCTACCTGTAACTAGTATTTAAAAGCGTCTTTTGGGTCATCCAAACTTCCTCAGGAGCCAACATGCCTTATCAAACATAATTAAAAAGTGAAGACTGGCTCTTTCAAACAGAAGTGTGAGATTTCAGGAGGTTTCAATTCTCCTCTCCTCTTCATACACAAGAGTTTGGAAATGCCTTGAGCCATAGTAGAGGGAGCCCTCCTTAAAGGCTCAAGAGAACTGATTTCTTCCTTAATTCCACTGATCATCCAATGATGGCATTTGCATAGCTTCAGTAAGGCAGCACAAAAAACCTGACATCCCAATTTGGAACATAAAGCCCCACAAAATATTAAAAAGACAGTGCTCTGTGAAAGGGTAACACCTGACACTCAAATCAACACAGGATCAAGCCTTCAGGGCTTATCCTTAGCTAAGCACACAAAACTTTCCATTGTCGTTGGCTGTCCAGAGCCTTTGTGTAAAGAATGGGATCAAGCTCTGCTTCTCCGGAAATGAATGGGAAGGCTGCGTCTCAAACACTAGGGATCATTTTCTCCTGCTGCCTGTATTTGAGACGATTACATCTTCTTGCTCTGCCACATGTCTCTGTTCCCGACAGCTCCTCAGACCCACTTCTTCTTCCTACTCCTCTGGGCTTCTGGGAAGTGCAGCTCTCCTAACTAGCTTGCAATATACTGCTGCGAGCCCTTTATTAGAGGCACACATGGCCCCTGTTATGATGAAAAATGCTTCTTTTTAAGTGCTCACGTATACTGCTCTATCATCACTCGGTGATAGACCCCACAAATCTTCAGCTTTGTCCTTCTACAGATTATGAAATAAAAGAGAGGAAAAAAGCAAAACCATTCTCCTCTAGTCCTGAAGGGAACAACGGTGGGGACTGGTTCAAGAACAATATACCCACAGATGGATCTCTGCAAAAGAACAACACAGAGGCATCTATCTGGGCTTTCTTTTGTTTATTTGTTTGGGGGTTTCAGCTGTTTTTGATGCTGTTATTTCCAGGATGTATTTTAAACGGTCATGGCTGTGATTCAATTCTCAGTTCTTGAAATGAGTGAAAATCCTCTTTTGGATGAGAAACATTTGCACAGAATGCAGCTAAGACAAATGGCCACTGTCTCTCAGAGTCCAGGCAATAAATACCACACTAGGGAAGGGATTTCTGATACATTGCATTCAGCAATTATTCAGCTGAATGAGTTAGTTATCCCTGAACATGTTTTAGAATTCAACATAATTTCTCTCTTCCCAACACCTCATTTACTAACACTGCATTTATGCTTGTTCTTCTAAACTGAACTGCCCTGTTCTCAGTTGACAATTCTTCCAAATCCATCCCCTTCCTCCTTCTGCCTTCCTTGAGAGAACCACCAAGCCCAGAGGCAACAATTTTAGCTCTTTCTTTGCAATTTGGGAGCACTATCTAGTTGTTCCTGCACTTTACAGGCACTTTCATGGAGAGAACAGGACAGACAATACCTATTCCTACCACCTACCACTAGGCACTCAGATAACTACAGAAGTTGTCCCCACTGATGGAGCATAACAAGGATCTCTGGCAAGCAGCTCTGAATCCTATTCACCATCTTCCAGCCTCAGGGAAAACAAACTGGCATCAATCAGAGCTGGGACGTGTCTCCTTCAGAGGCCCAAGCCCACCCTGTGGCACCTTGATTTGCAGTTAACCCACAGTTATTTCAAGGGCAATTGAGGCACGCTTATGTTTTATAATTCTATAGACCCTGCTTTGGTGTCAGGTCAGTATTTTCTTCTGACTCTGAGCCCATACTGTGATGGGTCTGGAAGCAAAAGAGCTCTTATTGACAGACCCAACCCTGAGAGGTGGCCTGAAGAGACCTGTAGGGAGCTTCCAAGCACACATATAAAAGCTTGTGGGTTGGCTGGCCATGGCACGTGGCAGAGCATACTGCCAAGTCACAGCAAAATGAAAGCAGAAGCACAACAAAAGGCTCTTCTGCCTTCCTTCTATCCCTTGCTCTGATGTTCAGCTCCACCCTGAACTTGTCCCTGGTGGATGTTTTTTTTTTCTGATGGAAGCAGGAGCATGATTTGAACCATTGAATCAGGCTCCACCTTATGAAATTACAGAAAATCCTGACTTTGAAAGTTGCCTGTTCCTCAACAACAAAGTAACTCAAAAGGACCCTTAAACATGTCAAACCAAACACATTCAAGCTTCACACAACATCTTCTACCCCGTGGTATGAAGGGCTGGCTAAAAGAGGTGCAACATGGGGGCCGTGGCAGCCTTTTCCCATGGCAGCCTCTCTCCCATTTAGCCCTGTGGCACAAGCAAGCAGTTCCTTGGTGATTTCTTTTCCCTTTCCCACCCATAGAGCTACTCACATGGCCATGCTGATCTAGCTCGTTGTTGGTGAGTTTGACTTTTTCAAAGGACACCATCTGCTTCAGCAGTTGCTCTCCGGTGAACGGGGAGTCAGGGTGCACGTACAACCTAAAAAACACAGAGAAAATGCCTGCTCAAAATAAAATCTCACCTCTGGACTTGTCTGTGGGCACTACCTCTGTATGAAGTTAAAATGCACACATCATTTTGCTTTTGGGATATGCAGTGGTTCCCTGAGCATAGACTTCCTGAGAACTTAGGGTAATACAGATCTACTACTAAAACATGACACCATCTCCCCCAAATTAATGAATCCCTGAAATAATGCTATTCATGAAGGACAGTAAAGCAGATGACTTATTTAATTCACTGGAACATAATTGAGAATCCTGTGTCTGAGTACTAGACTGCTCCTTAACCATAACTATTATTTTATCCCACTATCTAAAATGGAGACATTAACATTCCCTGTTGTGTCTTTTCCCAAACGAAAAATTGATCATGTCTTTCCCCACAGCTGTACTAACAAGCACTTAAAATAACAATGACTACAACTCCAAGAGAAAAAACATGGTGTCATTACAGAGATAATGGGGGAATGCAGATAAAAATGCATTTTTCTTTATATGTAACATTAAGCCGTGATAATGATTTTAACCTGCACTCGATCACACATTTGCTGTGGTGACGTCTGTTTATAAGAGGTTGAAGGCTGCAGTCCAGCACAGTGGTCTGGCATGAAAAATTAGTTGCAGTTCTGCTATTAACAATCCTACACTTGGGAAATTAAGCAGAAGAAAAGGAAGCAAGAAGACATGCAGATACAATGATATATACACATTATGACTACACTAATTACAAGTGCCGTGCTGTTTAAGAGCAATGATTTTATAGGAATAATGTATTGCTGAAAATTATTAACTCAGCTGTTCTTTTGTGATGGCAAATTAAGAGCTGGACTAAACCTTCAGCTAGTGCAAACCAGCCCTGTTTTGCTACTGCCCGTAATTGGTTATCACTCTCTCAGAGCCTGGCTCTCATTTTGGGTGATGTCTTTGGCCTCACAAATTACTTTCTTCCATTAGGTGGGTGGGGCAGGACCCAGCTGCCAGGTTAGGAAGATAAACATTTGTTCTTGTTGTTGAGCTACGATTTTAGAATGGAAAAACCACTAAGCGGTGGGGCAGAACTCTCCAATAGAGCACGCTGATCCCTAATCAAGGAATGCCCATACCAAAGACGCTGGGGAGAGCAGCCCTGTTGCTCAAAGAGGAAGGAGATTTGATCCTGTATTCTGTTTTCGCCAGCAGAATCCCCAAGACACAGTGAAACTAAAGTTTTACCAGCACAGCTTGCCTCAGATGAGCAGGATGTTTTCCTTACATTGATCCAAAGCACAGCTTGGCTGCTCTAGCTATGTCCATGGGAGGGATGCTGAGCCAGGATTCCTGTCACAATAAAATATTCCTAGCATGCAGGCATCCTCACTGTTATTGACTCTGCTGATTGCACTGCAAAGCTCATAAAAAATTATGATGTATCTGAAATCCCAAGACCTGGAATCATGTTATGTCAAAAGAATCTTAGCTCTGATGAAAACTAACTTTGCCTTCCTCTAAAAAGCTGTGTGAAAATTTCAATATTTAGAGCCATGAATTAGGGAAGGCAAAACAAAAAGAATGTTGAACATGCCCTGCAAATTTTCAGCCAGAGTTGTGATGGTTTTGTCGGGTTTTTTGTTTGGTTTTTTTTGGCTTTTTTTTTTTTTTGGGGGGGGGGAGGGGGGGAGGGATTTTGTTTTGTTTGTTTTGGGTTTTTTTGGGGTTTTTTTTGTTTTGTTTTTTGTTTTTTTATTGAGCCCGCCTCCTAATTTTGAGTGTCTGGATACTAGCTAATAGTGTTTACTGCGATCACAGAGTGTCAGACTCAGCAAGGTTTGGCTAATTGGGACCAAGAAGCCAAAGTATTTCAAATATGTGCAGGGAATGAGTAAAGACCTCCCTGTGCTGAAAAGCTGAGCACAATTGTTTTACACCATCATGGTTAATGCTTGGCACTGCTTTAAAACTACCAAGGGCCTGTAAACAGAGTGCTAACAGGAAAGTCACTGAAGGATGGGCACCAGAATATCAATTATACAATCATAGACCTTCCTTTTCTTCGCCCATTTGCTACACCCCAACAATCCCACTGCAACACAGGGTTCCACCTGGTGAGCTACACCTATTTCCCACACTTCTCCCGCAGTCAGAGCTTGCACACCTCAGGGAAGAGGGTTGAACCCTTGACACAGCAATTTAGCAATTTCTGAAGCAGAAGTTGTTGGCAAGACCACGAGTGTGCCCGAGCAAACAGGCCAGTGAGATAAATGTGCACATTCCAGGGCGGCACACGAGGCTCTCCCAGAAGTTTGCCTGGGATCTGCTGCCTAAGGCCAGCCAGATGTGAGGGGCTCCTCGCTTCGATTCACAAAGGGTTTAGGAGCCATATTTGGGTGTGAATTTGCTCTGCAGTATATAATGATTCATGATATACACAAGGTTTGGGTACTGCTTCTTTCTTGTGTATTTTGGAATGCAACACTGCACTCCCTCTATTTACTTTAACAGATGGTCTGGTCCCTGTGCATGCTACTTTCATTTACTGTAACATCTCAAATAATTCTCAAAATATAATACCTTTTAAAGGTTTCCTGCCTAGAGTTTTCTGTAAGTCTGTAAACACTAGGTTCATTAAACAAATTATTGTAGACAAAAACAGTTTAAAAAAAATATATAGCGATAAACTTTTGAGTGAAAGAAATGAGGCAAAAAAGGAAGAAGATCAAATAAAAGTACATGCGGAAACTTATTGAACTGATGTTTCACACAGTCTTAACAATGTGGAAGACAAATACAAAATATCACACAGGAACTCTATCCCCAGATACCACTTTAGAAGATTTATAAAAGACTTTCTGAAAAGTATTTTTGTTTAAGTGCTCGTTGCAACATAAACTTGTTCATTGCAACATAAACTTGTCTTCAACATTGACAGCAGGAAGACAAGGATAAAACTGGTTTTAATAGAAAGTTCCCTGAAGGGCTAATCTTTCAAACAGAATCACAGAATACTTATTAATTTGAAAAAAACCCAAAAACCCAAAAAAACCCTACAAAACTGTCATAGTGTTGAAAGTTATTTGTATAATGGAAAGAGTAAAACCATCAAACTGGTTCAATCCTGCAAAGTCTTACACCCAGGCACAATGCAACTCCTGAATTATTCCCCTGATGTCACTGTGCCTGGGCAGATGCAGGCAGTGATGTGTGTGGGGAGTAAGTACCTTGTTACCAGTTCCCAGACACTAAAACACACACCTCTCACTGACACTCCTCAAGCAAGCAGAGATAAAACCCTGCTTTTGGAGGACAAGAAATCATAACTTCGTTAAGGGTTTTGTTACTGAAGCAAGACCAAACTCGTTTCAAGATGGGAGAACTACTTTTAATCTTTTCAAGCAAGACTGAGGCCTCCCACCTGAAAAGATGCATTAACACTCTAGAAGAAGCACTGGTAATGCAAACACTGGCACATTGAACCTCTTCACATCCTTTTTCTCACCAAAGAGAAGTATAAGGAGGACAAAGTGCATAAATGTATAAGTAAGTGCTGTCTACACAAAGAAAAAGCTGTCTCTGCCTGCTCTGATCAAGTCTGTTTAACTAAGCATCCTGAAAATGAAGCAGGAAAGGTGTACATTCACACATGGGGGCAAAGCATCCTGAAGATGGAACAGCACAGATTTCCACATAGGGGCACTGATCTGCTGAGGACTCCCAAAAGTTACTGCAGTACAATAAAAATAACTGTTAAGCTTCAAGAAGGCTTTATCCAATACTCAGTAGGGCAATTGCTAATTATTCCAGTCTCTTGTCTTACATTCCAATATTTCCTTGTTGAACAAGTCTATGCCAGAGAGTGTGTGAATTAGAAAACTATTTAAAGGTATCCCAAAAGGGGCATGAACAGAAAAATAAGAAGGGGGGAAAACACTGCCTTAAAATTATTTCTGTTCTTCTGTTATTTCTTCTTTTGATGCTGACTCCTTTGGAGCAGGATCTGTGTGTTTTCTTTGGGTTTTGATCAGTGCCCATTACAATACGTCAAATGAAGCCCTCAGACGTTAACCACACTGCAAGAAGGAGTTTTTGGCCATGAAAACAAAGCAGACATAACTCCTAGGTTGCTGTCTTTAATCACAGCTTCTCTGCTTGCGCTTTTTGTTTGTTTACTCCCCTGAACAGCCTTCCAGAGATCACCAGTCACCAAGATTTCAGTTCAACTATTTATATAAGGAAATCGCGCAGAATTTGGTTCCTATACTCGCACACCAAAAAAAAAAATTGTTTCCATTTCTTGTGTTTCACTTATAATTTCTGCCTCTGTAATAAGCAAGTTCTTAACCCCAGGCTAAGCCACCTGGAGCAGATCTGTGCTCCTGCGGGGAGCCCTCCACAAAAAGTTTCTTTGAAGCCAGAGAGGCTTCATCCGCGTTATTCCATATCTCCGGCTCTGACTCAGCAAAGCCCTTCGACATGTGCTGCAGGCTCACTGGCCTTGGGGACTGAAGTAGGTACAGAAGTGCTGGGCTGAATTCAATGAAGTGTGGGTCTCCCCTGAAGTGCCCTCCCACTGTACAGCCCAGCGCTGCAGCCTCAGTTGCCCAGTGCTTAAAGGAATCAGTCATTAATTACATTAATGGATTTATTTTAGAAATTAAATTTCTAAAGCATTTGTTTCTGTAGAGAAAAGGGAATTTATTTTAGAGGGGTTTTTCCTGATGTCTCAGAATATGTCATGATCTTTTAACAAAAAGAAAAGTAACTGAGGAACTGATCTGTACTTTGCCTGCTGCCTAACAGATGATTAAAATCAAGAATAAAATCGTTGGTTAGCAAATGCTGGGAATGTTACAGAAATAATATAATTTCAAGCATAAACAGCAATGAGCTGCAATTTATTCCTCTTTTGGCTTGGCTGGTGGTGCCTGGATTGCTTTAAATTATGAGGTCAAATATTGGGGGGGGTAAATCCAAGGGACACTTTATTTTTAAGTTTTCTTATCTGAATCATGACAAACTTAAATTTAAAAAAAATTAAACCCCGGTATGTGTAAAAGAGCTCTTAACCAAATTCTGCATATCTTGGAATACTCAGTATAAATCAAATCTCAAGCAGAGGTTTGAAACCAGATTTTGCAACACAAAAATTGTAATCAGAGTTTTGTAACCAGCTTTGTTGAACACGGACTTAAAAATCTCAGAGCACTGTTTGCAAACAGAATGGAAAGATTAATACAAGATATTTTGTGAAGGGGGAAAAAAAGAAAAAAAATAGTAAAGAGAAATAAAAGAGCAGCAATAAAATCTACAAACCTTGCAGGGAGAGGAGGGTCAGCTTTTCCAGCCACTAACCAGGAAGACCTGTGGTAGGCATATCTATATCTTTTATTGTCCACAGGAACTATATCCATTAACACAATATACTTGGCCTCAGGATCCACTCCCGAGAAGGAAACCCTGATTGTAGGAAACATTCTCCTAAAAAACAAGGCAAATCAGAAAATAAATATTTAGGCAGAGAACAGAAATAAGAGAGCATCTGAAAAGCTGCTAAAAGTAATAATTATATTTAAATCCCCCACAAACAAACTTAAAGCATGTATTGATTTCGCTTCCACATGACGGGAGTTAAATCTTGTGTCTCTCTAATAAGGAGACAAAAAGCAGCTTGAAATCGAAATTATATTTGGGGAGCAAAAAGAAAAACATGGTAAAAAGTGAATTAGGAAAGGAGAAATATACTATTTGCCTGTTAGTTAAAAGCACACAACGATTTCAGAAAACAGTTTTAGCTAAGGTACATAGATACTTAAGAACTTGGATTTTCTTTAATTATTTATATTTTGCGGGATCCATATTACTGCAAGGGAAATATTCCAAAACTATTTCCGTTGTTATTCTCACATATTTTATGTGAGTGTTTTCTTAAGCCTGCTCACAATATTTTTGAACGGAATTTTCAAAACTAAAACATTTCTTTTCTTTACTGTTTATCTGTACTTAACTGTAAGGTTATCCTGTAGACCAGAAATAAAGTTAAATAATTTTGACAGTTTAAAATAGTGAACTTCATATTGCATGTTTTACACCTAATTTTAAAAAATAAAAACATATAGCGATAGAGCTTATCAGTTAGGAAAAAAAAAAAAATCTTTAGGCAACTACGTTAATAAAAAGTAACTTTGGGGATTTAAAACTCCTAAAAACATTTGGCTCCTCTGGACTGCGTTTGACTGACCCAAACCCCACAAGCGCTACTGAAGAAGGCATAGTTTGAGGTAAGGAGAAAGCCTGAAATTCTTTTGCGCATTTTTGCAACCGAGAGAAAAGAACAAACCAAAGCAAGCTCTGACAGGATCACTTCCCCACGACCCCGCGTTTCCCTCGGTCTGTACCAACCCAGCGCCTCAAAATCACCGCAGAACTTTAGTCACAAACCTGATTATTACGGAAACAACTCCTTCCCCGCCGCCAGGACGCCCCGGATGGATTTCAGCCGGCCCCGCCGCAGCGCACCGCATCTCGCTCCGGCCCCGGCCGCTTCTCCCTCTGCCCCAGCGGGGCCCGCCGAGGGGCTGCGGCAAATATGGGGCTTCACCCTCATCCCCTTAACCCAGCCGTGCTGCTCTCCCGATACAAAAAAAAACCTTCGGGGTTTCGGTAACTTTGCCCTTTATTCCCCCTGTCCAAAGCCGCTTTTCGAAAGATGCGCGGAGGGAAACCCTGGGCTGCCCAGTCTTACCTCCCGGATTTGGTGATGATCATCTCGGTACCCAGTTCATGAAACTTGTCCCAGAGCTCTTTGGTCTCCAGGCTGCATGAGATTTTGGCCATCTCCTCGCTGGGGATGATGGGGGTGGTGGGGATGAGGGGCTCGGTGCACAGGGAAGAAGGGCTACTGCTAAAATCCCCGTGAGGGTCCAGGCTGGATAAATCACTCAAAGGCTGGGCGCAGGAGGATTTCTCAACGAATTGTTCTGCAGGGTTTGAAGAAAAAGAGAGACACAGACAGAAAAAGAGACAGAGAGAGAAAGGGGATTCAGCCAGGACAATAGGACCACCGAGACAAGATATTTAAATATATATATATTATATATATGAAAGGTATTTATCGTTCAACTGCCCCCGGCCGATTCCTTAGGCGTCCGCTCATCATTTGAGGGCGGCGGTGTTGATTTTGGGAGATGAGCTCCGGGAAGAGCCCGCAGCGGCGCCGCTCGCAGAGGCGCACCGGGAGGGACGGCCGGGGGGCGGCGGGAGCAGCACGGCCCCGGCCCCGCCGCCGCCCGGCCGCGATCCGCGATCCGCTCCGCGGGGCACGGCAGGGCAGAGCCGGCCCTGCGCGCTGCCCCCCCGCTAACCGAGGGGTTCCACGGAAAGGTCACTAATTCTCATTAAAACGGGAGCGTTGAGCGCCGAGGGGCTGCTGAGGGCCAGGGTCACGCTGGGGGGCACGGGACGCTGCTCCCGGATTGCGCCGCTGGCAGAGAGCGCAAAGCAGAAGGAGCCCGAGCGCGGCCGCGCAGGCTCCGCGCTTCCTTCGCGGGGAAGCGAGCCCCAAATACCAATTAAACAGCGGGCACGGGCTCACTCCCCCGGAAAGCTGGCTCTGCCTTTCTCCCAGCCGGTTAGCTGACACTGAGCCACTCGTTTGGAGAAACAGGCTCCGGAGGAGCTGCGTGCGGCCGCGCAACCTACGCGGGTGCAGAAGCTGCTGCCGACGCGGGCCGCCCGCCGCGCCTGGCGCTGCCTCCCACCCCCGCAAGCCCCGGGAGGCTTCGGGCGCTTCAGCAGCTCCCTTGGGAGTTTCCGCCGGAGGCGAGGCCGGGAGGGAGCAGGGCTGCGAGGGCTCTGCCCGGCCCCGCGGTGCAGCACCGGGATGCGGCGGCGCATCCGGCGCCCGGCGCCAAAGAACGAGAGGAGCACGAACGCTCCCTGCCCCTCCAGGGAAAGGTTTTGCCTAAAGCTCCAGTTAATAAAAACCGAGTCACAGGCAGTCGTTTCCCTTCTATTTTTAGATGAGCGACATGAGGGAAGGGGTTAAAATTTTTTGAAAAATTAAATAAGCATTTTCAGGAAAAATTCAAAACAAAACCAAAAAAACAAACCAACCCCACTAACACAAAGTTTAACACAAACCTATGTAAATACGCCGACCGGGAATACTACAACGTTCCCGGCCTACATTAGAGCCTCGACTTAAAACTGAAGTTCTCAATGAATCCCTAGACTATGTGAAATCTTTTGAGACAGTTGATTAGGTGCAGCAGACGCTGAGGAGCTGCCTTTTCTAAATTCTTTTAAGATTGAGTGTAATCCTGTTCATTGGCGCCCTGAAAGCTTAACACATATTTTGTAGTTTTCTGCGAACTCCTGGATACACGCAAGGATGACAAACCGCAGAAACTTGGAGGGGGGGGGGGGGGAAGGAGGGGAAGATGTTCATGTTTTTTAAAAGCATTCAGGATTCTGAATCGAGGCAGCCGAATAGAGCGAAATCGCTTACCCGAAAATTTCAAAAGCTTACAAAAACTCCTCCCGGTCTATGTAGAGCAAAACAGCCTATATGAGCCTACATCGAGGAGCTGTGGAGTGAAGGGATTTTCAGTTCTACGCGCAAGTTTTACTACCCCTTGTAAGCCTAGGCACCACAACGGAGAGTCTCTAATTTGACTTCAGAACCAGGGTGGATTTGCAATATCTATTTAAGAGATTCATTTCATGTCAGCGAAGAGAAATTGAACTACCTTAGAGTGTGGTATTATTCTGCAAATGGCGAAGCTGGATAAATAAGACGCATAACTGAAACTAGAGGAATTTAGGAAACTCTTCATGCTATAAACAGCCTAAAAACGACCGTGGGTGATGAGGGCACTCAACTTTCGAGCTTAGGTGGTGCTGCTTTCCCCTCTGCAGAGGAAACCTTCGGGCAGGGACGCGCCGCTGCCCGGCCCGGCTGCCGGAGCGCTGAGAAGGGTAAACCAGGGCGGACAGGACAGACGGACGGACCCCACGGACACCGGCGGTCACCCCGGTCCCCACTCACCCAGAGGCTTGATGGTGCTCTCGGGGGACTCCTTGTCCTTGGAACTGCCGCTCGACATGAGCGCGGCGATGGAGAAGGCGTTGGCCCGGGAGGAGAGCTGCGGCTTGGGGGGCGGCGTGTACTCCATGGCCACTGCGCGGGGACGCGGCTCGCTGCGGCGCTGCCCGGACGGGGCGGGGGGCAGGGCACGACCGGCCGGGGGTGGCGGAGCCGGGATACCGGGAGCGCTCTGCTCCCGGCGCCGAGCGCTCCCCCGCCTTAACGCGGGGCCGCGGAGATCCTATCGGCCGGCGGCCAATCGGCGCCGGGACACGTCAAGGGCCCCGGCCCGGCCCGGCCCGGCCGCGGGGGAGGGGGCGGAGGCGGGCAGCAGCAGCAGGAGCAGCAGCAGCAGGAGGAGGAGGAGGGACGGACGGACAGACGGAGGGAGGGGAGGGAGGGAGAGAGAGGAGGGGAGGGCTCTGCCCGCCCGCAGGGTGGGGAGGGGGCGGCCGGCCCTCGGGACTGCTCCCCGCAGCCGCTCCCCTTTTGGGCACCCCAGCGCCGCTCCCCGCCGGGGCCCCGGCTGCGGTTCGGGGAGCGCCATCCGCTCCTCCGAGCCCCGGGCGCGGGAAGGAGGGGCCAGGCCGCGCGGCCAGGGATGCTCCCGGGAGCGTCCCTAGGCTATTCGCTTCGCCGAGGCACGACACGGCGCAGGGGCGCTTGAAAGGATGAAATGTAATTGTGAATTTTTCTGGTGCGCGTGTGTGAGTGTCAGCTTTCTCTTTTGCATTCAAATATTAAAAGACCGCAGCTTTCAAAGCAGACGTTTCGTCGTTGTGTGCTTTCTGTTGGGACAGAATGTTCCTTAAGGCTGATCGTACCCTTGGTTTTGCTGCACCCGATCCCAAATATTGTCACCCCGGTGAGATGTACTCGCCCCCACCGACTCCAGGTGAGACCCTTGCAGCATTCCCTTCCCACCCCAACCAGTGCGTGGGCCGCTGATCGCACAGTTTTCTTCAAATCCGTTTCATCGGCTGCGCCGAAATAGGTGGTACTGATCAGGCACATAAGACAGAGAAAGTCGGGACGGGGTGATGGTACCAACGAGTAGCTTATTCCAAGGCGGTGATTTAAGTAAGTTTCTCAGTGCTCTTTCACACGTATAATGTAAGCATACTCTCATGAATAAATTAAATAAAGAAAAGCGGTGCGTTTAAATAAAATTCCTTTAAATAAAAATATCACTGAAGATATTTACTCGCTAGAACGACCTACAAGAGGACGTGCAACTTTATCAATGAAGTTCCACCTTCTAAATCTAGAACAGAATCCAAGCACTCTTAATTACGCAGGCTGGTGCCAAGAGCCACACACATACCCGGTGTCAATCCCGTTCCTACTACACTTAATTAATTATTATGGAGAAAGAATTATTTGGGTCACCCTGCCCGGCCAGTGGAGTGGGGAGGACGAAACAGTGCTTTATCGCTTTGAGATCAGCGAGAACCAACTGCCGTTTGCCCTTTTGATACCTGGATTTGCTAACAGATAGAATATCTATCGCAAACGGGACGTGCCTATTTAGAAGAGCTAAAGCGTCTGGCAGAGGATTTCGGCGTGGCCCACAGCGGTCTGGGGTCTCGCCTCAGACATTAGTGGGAGGAGAGGGGCGAAAGGGGAGAGCCCAGCCAGCCCCGCGGCCGGCGAGCCGGGAGGGTCAGCTCAGCAAGCATCGCCTCTTGCTTGACACAGGCAAACAGAGACGAGAGGTTCTGCCGACACCAATCTTAAAAAAACCAAGAACAAACAAACAAACAAAAACCAAACAAAAAGTCCCCTCAACACTTTACCACTGTAACCCGAGGGACATCCCGCCAAATACGGGTCCGTTTTCCCTGCGCGACAGCCCCGCTCCTGGGACCCCTCCGGGCGTGCGAGGGGCGGCGGGACGGGGGTGCCGAGCTCCCGGCCCTGCGCTCCCTTGGCCCTACCTGGAAAGCAGGGTCCGGCCTGCCCGAAAAGACAGACAAAGGAGGGAAAGGAGGGTACAAGCAGCCGGGAAGTTTTCCTCTTCACCTTTCCTCTGGTGGTAACAGGGATCCCTAAGTCTCCTTTGGTTTCCTACCTACTGTACGCGCCGCGCAAGCAAGATAATAAAACCTGTCAAAGTAACAGCGCAGATTCTACCAAAAAAGCCCCAAAAAATAAAAAAAAAAAAAAAACAACAAACCAACAAACCAAAACCGAAAAAAAAAAACCCTAAACAACCTAAACCTCCAAAACCACCTCTCCTTTTCCCTTGCTTATTTCCGTCCTTCAGCAGTGAGGTCGTAACATACCTGTCCCTAGCAGGGGCTGCCCCGGTCCATCGGGGCTGAGGGGAGAGGGACGGTGGGTGCCTGTGGGTATTTCTGTGCGTCCGTCTGAGAAACACAGCCTCGGCAGCTGAGGCAGCTCCGGACCGATTTCTGCTCTCCCTGGCCGCGGGATTTCCAGTCCCGGGGGGCGGCCGGTCATTGCCTTGGCCCGGGGGAAGAGGACGCGGCCGCGGCGGGGGAAGCGCTGCGCGCTGAGCGGGGCACGGCGCACCCGGGCGCGGAGCGGAGGGCGAGGGGCAGCCGAGGCCGCGGTGCGGCCGTGGAGCTGGGACGGGGCTGCCGGTCACCTCCGGGCAGGAGGTTTCCCCCGGGGAGAGGAACTGGCTTTGGGGCTTGTAGATCTCTGCTCGTACCTTGGAGTTTAAATACCGGGGTGGAAAGAAACCAAGAACTTCGTTTTATTTTATTTTAAACGGGTCCATCCACGGGATGGCTTTTCTTTTGCTTGCTTAAGCCATGCAATTTTTCGCTCTATCCGGCGAGAATCTGTATTTTTTTAAGGTATTTTTCCCTCGCTCCGCCTCCGATAAGGAAATGAGCCTTGTCTAGACGCCCAGAGCACCCCCTCCTTCCCCGTGGGCAGGGAATGGGTCTCAACTCCGGCCGTCTAATCCTCGCTACGGCTCCCTCCCCCGCCGGGGCCGAAGTGGGGAGACACAGGGATCAAGCAACCCGAGCTCGGCTTCCCTGGGCTGCTTTGCCGTCCCTGCCCACGGCCCTCTCCGGCCAGGGCCGGCTTCCAGAGACCAGGGGGTGGCAGGGGAATACACTACTACCCCAAAGCTCTTGATGCCTCTCTGCTTTCCCAACCAAGTGGATGTGTTTAGAAATGTCCGCGCGCTCTTCCCAGGGGATGCGAACCGGAGCTGCCAGTCCCCGCCGCGCCCAGGCACAGAGCGGCTGTCACCACTGTACCGACCCCCTCCCGAGAGCAGAGTTACCAACCCTGCTGCTCCCCAGCAGGGAGGTTGCCTCGCTTGAACCCGTTTCAATTAAATCCTTCGTTATTGTTTACCCGTATATGAAGGACACGCAATCTACACTGCAGATTTGTTTTTAATCTAGCAAATCCATGTGTTTGTCGCTGGTGTCAGCCTGCTGTGGCAGAGACATTCATTAGGCTTCATTATTCTTTCAAAATACTTTTTTCTTTTTTCCCATTTTCCTTTGCCCAAAAAGCTCCTTACTCTCTTGTGCACCAGCAAAAAGCAGAGTGCGGTAATCGCTGCACACCTCATATCGTTCGTTCGGTTCCCAGCTTTAATCAGGATTTGGTCTCAGTTTCGCCGTCAGGTTTCAAACAGGGAGCTTGCAGCCCGCCTCCGAAACCCCTCTTTGATCCCTGACGAACCAAGGAGAAAGCACGATCCCGTGAAAACCCATGAGCACCGCTTCTTCCCGGCCCTTTCCTCACCTACACAAAATCACGACGGGAACGACACACGAGGGACAGAAAACCCGCAGAAGCCCGCTGAGCAGCCTAGGGTCCAGAGGGATGGTTTCAGGTGCTCCTTCGCCTGTGTGACAAGAGCTCCGGCGCTGCGCGGCCGCGCAGGCCCGCGGGCGGGCGGGGTGTGCGGAGAGGGGCGCACACCGGGCGGGGAACCACGCTCAGGTTTTAAACAACTCTTTCGCGTAGTGATGAGGGGCCGTTGCCCTTTTACTCTTTTTTTGTTCCCGCAAAAGCCCCCACGCCGCACACTTCACGCGGCAGAGACAAATCTGTGCGGGGCTGCGCCCCGAAAACAGACCCGGCACCGAGCCGAGCTGATACCCACTCTTCTCACGGCTGTCCCTTGGGATAACCTGGCATTTGCCTCCATCCCTCCTCCTCCGTTACTTCCCCGTCTCCCCTCCAGATCCGTAGCCTGTGCGGCGGGCAAGGAGAGCGTTTCCCTTTAATTAGGAGCCTACGGGTGCAGGGTGCCGCTGCCGAGACCCTCCCTGCCGCCGTCCCACGCCGAGCGCTGCTGCCCGGGCGTGTGTCTGACCCTCCAGCCCGCAGCCCCTCTCCAAGGTAACCTACGGCGCTGCTTTGGCATTGAGTTTACTCCTGCCTCGGTAGGGAAGAGTTAAAATCTTTTGCTCTTTCTTATTTTTCACCCCTGCAGATAAAAACAGTTTATCCAGCATAAAGAATGGTGTTTATTCGCTCGGGCAGGGTCTCCGGCTCGCCCATTCGTGCCCTGCGAGAGCACCGCTACTTTACAAAGCGCTAGCCGGCTCTGGCTCTGCTCCCCTGCAACCTCACGAGATTGTCAGCCTGCTTTCAAGAGATTTTTTTGTCCTCCGCTGCACGTAATTCTATTGCTCTGTCCGCCGGATTCCCCCTGTCTTTGCGCTCCCCGCTTTGGGAGCAGCCCCCGCTCCCAGCGCTCCTGCTGCCGCGGGAACATCGCTCCCCTGCCGCCGCTCCATGCTCTCCCCTCCGCGGAAAGAGCCGCGCCAGCAAGGCAGAAGCCCGGGTACCTGAGATCCAATTTCACAACAAAAACATCTCAATGTCACCTACAGCGAGAAGGTGGCTTATCGGAGCAAAATGCGAGGCATTTTAAACCTATTAGGCATCTCCCAGATGCAAATCCAATGGTGGAAAGAGAAAGGCTCTATTAAGACCCGTGGGCTGACAATTAGATTATAGTCCAATTGCCAGCGGATAATGTGCTAAAAGCTTTCCCATTTAGTGTAACTCCTCGCTGAAAATTATTCACACTTTGCGGGCTGCCGCGCTCCTGAACGGGAGATGTCTTTGTCCGCGGAGAGC